TTTAAAATTCTAACTTACCACTCTTTCCATTCAATTCAATTATTTAGGATGTAATCTTCAAAATTAATTATTACATAATTTCGTTACAACACTAGCTTTATTTAGTTTTACATAAAAAAAAGAAAAATAATTTATGATATCTATTCAGCAGCCTTTACCAACGCTTCTCCTACTTCAATGGCAATGGCGGCTTCAGCTCTAGCCTATAAACAACGAAAATATATAAACAATTTTAAAAATATTCTGAAGGGACATCAAATAGAAAAGTGACTATTTTAACGATTTTCAGGTAGAGATACTGAGGCTCAAGATCTATTTGATGAGCTATTACTAAGCGTTGCAATCAAATTTTGGTTTTAGTTATTTATATCTCCCATTACTTTTCTGCCAAACATTGTCAAAAGATTTCTTGATATTTAGGAAAACTGCTTCATATTTAAATGTGAATTTATGTAATTTTAATTAGAAATAACAAATAAATGTCTGTCTACTTTTTTTACAAAATCTTTTACCTGATCTGTGCCTGCTGATGATAACTGACTTTGAGCTTTAGTGAGGATATCTCTGGCTGCATTAACATCTAAATTTTCTACAGGATGAGCTTCTTCTGCTAAAATCTAAATAAAAAAAATTCATATTTAATAAAAAAACAATTAAATATTGGAAACTTCAAAGTGAGTTTAAAGCAACAGAAATTTGAATAAGGGGAGTTATTTAAACACTGCGATTGTCTTTTTGAAAAGAATTTTTTTTGTTATTCCTCAATTTAAAAATTATCTTTAGAATACATTTATTGTAAGTCAAATTCTCCTGAAAAAGGGTTAATAAAATAAATATTAATTTGGTTTTTTAAAAAAATTCTCTAACTTGTATCTATGTGGAAATTATTTTACGATAAAAAAATATACCTAAAAAATAGGAAAACATATTTGAATGTTAGGTTTGTCATTTTTATTATGTGCTTTACTGTAAATGAAAGAAATTTTAAACATATTATAAAACATATTTGACAATTTTGTCAACAAGTATATTAAAAAGATTACGTCATTTCTTTAACTTTTCATGATCAAATCAAATTTCCCAATAAAAGTTAGATAATAACCTGAACTGATGAGTCATCATTGATTGTGACTGTTCCACTGGATACAAATATTTTATTAACTTTGCCACTGTCTTCATAAACGGTAACTACTCCAGGTTTGAGAACAGCAAGAGTAGGAACATGCGCAGGTAAGATACCAAAACTACCTGAGAAGGATGGAACATCTACTTGTTTAACAGACATTGCATTGTAAAAGACCTAAAACAATATTAAGTGTTAATTAAGGAAAACCTGAATCTAATAATGTGATTCATGTTTTGACATCTCATGGCTATAATAATTTATGAGATGAACTGAGATCTAAAATTACATTGGGAAGTATTAAATCAGTTTATAATAATCTGCATTGATTTGGAAGTCTTAATAAATGCACAAATGGAGCAATAATTTGGCTCCAGGTGATACATATACTGAGTATCGGCATAAAACCGTTGAATGATTTTATTTCTAGTAAAATTTAAGTTGGACCCTTAAATATTTACCGCAAGCTACCCCACTTAAAATTTTTTATGACAACCTTTATGTATTATGAAGGATTATGAAAGAACACACATTTTTTTAGTAATCCATAATAAAAAAGTTTACTTTTTGAGACACTTTACCTTTCAGTACAAAGTTACAACAAAAAACAAAAAAAAACCTCAAATAGAGTCAATCTAAATAATATGTCATAATAATGATAAACTAATAATAAGTACAAAATCGAAACAACTAATATTAAGACAAAGGAATTTAAGTCACAGTACGTTTTAACACCCTCACAAAATTAGAAAAGCTTGAATTAACAAATTCTTGATTATCAGCACAAGCATTAGCGCTTCGTGAAACTAGGCATGAACAGGGCCGACTGAAGGGGGACAGCCGGGACCAATTCCCGGCAGCGGTATAAGAGGGGCCCGGCAGCGGTGAGGAGAATTTTTTTGTTATGACACAAGAGGGGAGAAATTTTTGGTCGAAGACTTTTTTAGAGAATTTCAAGTAGAGGAAGAGAAATGTTTGCTTGAAGATCTTTTTTTTTTTAATTTTTTAAAAAGTTGTAGCGGGGCCCAATTGAAGAATTGTCCTGGGGCCCGGTCTGTCTCTCGGCGGCCCTGGGCATGAATGAATTGAGGTAGTATTAGTTCTCATGTAGGACTGATGAAAACTGTTTATTGATCTTGAGCTTCTAGTTGGGACTGCCAACAACATGCTTGAAATCAATGTAGGGCAGTCAACCATATAATTATTTCTTCTTATTCTCAAAGCTGGTAAGGAAACTGTCTCTTGCAGTGCCGCAAAATCATGGCAAAAGTCATCTATCCGTGGAATATTTGATTTAAAGTAGCTTAAAGTAGCGAAGAAATTTTGTCTGAACCTGTTCTAATCTATGAATGTGACAAGTATATTGGGGGTTACAGACTGAAGAGCAATATTCTAGCAGAGGCCTAACAAGACTACTACAGTACAATAACCTGATAGCATGTGTTTCTCTTTATAAACCCAAGCATACCAAGTGCTCTGGGTACTATTGTGTCAATGTGATTGACAAATGAGAGCTTGGAGTTCATAATAACACCCGTATCTCAAATGGATGCAACTTGGGACACTGGTGTACCCTTGATATTATATTGATAATCAATCCTGTTGATCTTCCTAGTAAAGGATATCGAGTGACACTTAGTGATGTTTAGGTCCACAGTATTATTCGCACACCACTCAAATCCAGCCAGATCAGACTGAAGTTTGAGACAATCCTCAAGAGATGAAACTGCTAGGTAGCACTTTAAGTCATCAGCAAAGCAAAAAAATTTGGCAAAACTTGAAACATACCGAGTTATTATTTATAAATAATAAAAATAACAAAGGTCCCAAATGAGACCCTTGGGGGACTCCAGATGGATTGGGAATATTTTTAGACCTGTAATTATTAAATTTAACAGTTTGGAGTCTTTTAGATAAATAACTAGCCAGCCATTGCCATGTTCCCATGATACCAGCAGTCTCCAGTTTATTTAACAAAAGTTTGTGATTGACCCTGTCGAACGCCTTGGAAAAGTATGTGAATATGGCATGCACCTCACCACCTCCATACAAGACGTCCGACAGATAGTCGACAAAAGCAAGTAAATGCAGTTCTGTAGATTTTTTGTTAAGAAACCCAAATTGTTCTTCTACTATTGATAAACTTAATTTAGATCTTAAGTAATCAGCTACTATCTTCTCAAACAACTTTGGAATGGAACTAAGATTACATAGGGATATGTCAGCTCTGTTACCAGACTTGAAAATAGGTGTAAGATAGCTCACTTTCCAGATATCTGGGAATATGCCCGAAGCAAAAGACTTATTAAATATAATGTGAAGCGGCTGCGAGAGAACAAAACTACAAAATCTGAGAATAGAATGGGGGATACCATCAGGTCCTGGTCCCTTGGTAATGTCAATACTAGCCATCTCTTCATAAATGGTTGATATAGGAATAAGATAATCAGATATAGAAATGTGATTAAGTGATGGTTTACTTTGAGGATCAATATTCTTATCAGTATATACTGACTGGAAGTATTCTGCAAAAAGATCAGGTAAATCTGGTCCCAAATGACATTGACTATCATTAAGGAATAGCAATGGTGGTAAATCATTCCTGTTCCGTTTACTCTTAACAACATTTCAAAACTGTTTTGTTTCTATGGTCTGTTAAAGAAGACTCAGAATTTACAATAAACTGTTGAGAGCACCTTTTTAATAAAGTTTTACAATCAGAACGTAATTTACTATAATTAATATAATCGCTATGTAATCTTAAACTTTTAAATTTTTTGTGAGCTTGTTTTTTTAATATTGTCAGCTGCTTTAACCCTGGGGAGAGAACCATAATGGAAATTTTCTTTTTGATGCTTTTTTTTTGTGGAATTATAGCATGGATAAAAAAATAGAGAATATCATAAGCAATATTAACCATATCATTCGCTGAGTGATGTAATAATAAGTCATCCCAATTTACCTGATCTAAACAATCGTTCAACAGAGATAAATCAGCTGATCTAAAATCATAATAAAAATGTCTTTCTGGGGACCGCTCACATTAGAATGATTTATTTACCATACGTTTTTATCTTTCTAGGCAATATTTTTAGAGTTACTACTTTGTATATTTTTGTTTTATATGGTAAATATTAAATTATTATTATTATTTAAAGAGTTCACAATCTGGAAGCTCAAAGGAGAATGGTAACCATCAGCTGGAACCAGTGCTTCATCACTCAAGGTCACTATAGAATTCCCATTTGTAGATAATATTCTGTCAGTGTTATTAGCAACTTTATTCACCTGATATAAATTGTAAAATGCACAGGTATCACCCATTAAGGTAACCACATCTCCCATATGATTTTGTTCCCCCACTGTCACTGTAGGTACTGAGCAGTATTCCTCAGTTTACCAGGAGCAATATGGCATATTGAGGTCTCCACAAAGACAAACAGATCCTTTATGATTTTCAATAATGACATCCACTGTTGAACTGAAACACTGGTACTTATTTATTGGAGAGTGAGGTGGTATATAGACTTCAGCGATGATAATTGCATCAGAACCTGATCCAATTTTAACGTTCAATATCACTAGAGGTATCTAGCATGGAGTTAGTGAGAGTCTTAAATACAGCGATGAGCACACCACCACCTCTTAAAGCATTACTTGTATTTTGGCTTCTATCACATCGGTAAATATTACAAACAAACAATCCTAAACATACAGGTTTTTAGCTCAGCCTGTACACTTATACCTTTCTTTGGAGATTAGATCAAAATTAACAAAAATCCCCCTATGCACTCTCATTTTCAAGATTTCAACTTAAATCTTATCCTATCAGTACAATACAATTTAATGTTTGCAGTAGTTAAGTATTTATATTTTTTGTTTGTCAAACTATTTTATTGTATTGAATTTTATTTATTGATGTGGACATTTTCACAAAAAGCCACTGCCAATAATGAGTACACTGAAATACAAGGAATACTAAATAACATATATCCAAATAATACATTAAGGGACAATGAATTAAAGTTTGTATTGAGTTACTTTCAAAACAGCATCAATCTTTTTTATTAGTCGTCCAAAACCACTAGAAACTAGAATACAGTATATCAGTTCAATACTACTTAAAATTATAATTATTTCATAGGTAAATACCTGGTTTCCAGCAGCAAAGGTAAAATTCATTTGGTCTGCATATCCTCTTCTTGCAGTGGTTTGTAGAGACCTGGAGAAAAGGAGGCGAGACATGGAACGAATTGCAGCCATTTCCTAAAGCAAAATAATATATTTTACTAAACAAAAAAACTTGTACTAATTATCATTAAAAAATGTATCTAGTTAATCTCATAACCTCTTATTACATAATAGTTAAAAATATATGTATCGGATTTTCGTACAATTTGAATTTTGAATTAGGTTTAATAAGATAATATTAGATATAACAATAATTTTAACTTACAAAAGAGTGATTTTTTTCTTAAAAAATAGGAAAAAAATTATTGAAGCACCTACAAAATTGTTCAATATCCCGAACACAGAAAGGGAAAAGTAGAAGAAAAATGTGACTAGTGACAAGAGACTGTAAGGACCACTGTCATTCTTCCTTTTATATTTGGCCTCCATTATAAATGATAGATTAGGTAGGTGAAAGAACTAATGAGTTGTTATTGTTAAAGTTTGTTCTTTATTAATATCAAGCAAAAAACAATTAAGAAGCCACATGATAAAGTTGTTAGCTATTTTTGTCTGCAAATTTGCATTTGCCATTCGCCTACAATTTAAAATATCCGAACTCGACTTGTAGATATGTGATGTATGTCATGTGTCAAAAAATAAAAGAAGAGAGAAAATCTGGAGAAAAGAAGAACATATTTTAATTTAACCTTACTTTTTACATTTGTAAATTTTACATGTGCATTTTTGCTAATGTAAATTGTATTTTCTGTTGTTAATATAATTAAAAGTTAAATGGATTACACAGTAGGAAGTTTAGCAGACCTTATATCTGGCCAAAATACCGAAAATAAGACCAAAGTTAAGAAAATTAAAATAAAAACGAATGAAGGTAAAAAGAAAAACTTGGCAGTAACTGAAAAAGTAAAAAATAAAAATAAAGAAAAGCTCGAGGAAAACGTGCAAATTAGTAAACCAAAAAAGCGTAAAATAAAAGATGTTTCATCTAAACATATAAAAAAGCCTAAAACTGATTTTAATTCCCTAGCTGATAGTGACGACGAAACTTCTGTTAATCAAACTGAAATTAATTCAAATGAACAAAATGAAGATGTGAAAATAAAAAAGGAAAAAATAGTGCCAACTCCAGAGGAATTAGCAAGAACTATATACGTAGGTAATGTACCAATAGATACACAGAAAAAGAAAATGAAACAGATTTTTAAGAAATATGGTCCTATTGAGTCCGTAAGGTTTAGAGGTATTCCTATAGCTAATCCAAAGATACCGAAAAAGATTGCCGTTATCAAAAAAGACTTCCATCCTGACCGAAACAGCGTTTATTGTTATATAAGATTTATTAATAAAGAAGATGCCCAAGAAGCTTTAGTAGAAAATGGAGTTTTGTTTCAAGAGCATCATCTGAGTGTCAGACCTTGCAGTATTAAAAAAGAAACTCCAGATGAATCTAAGGCAATATTTATCGGGAATTTGATTTTCAATGCTGAAGAGGAAGATCTATGGAAATTGTTTGAACCTTGTGGTCCAATTTCACATATTAGAATAATACGTGATACATATAGTGGTATGGGCAAAGGTTTCGCTTATGTTAACTTTAAAGATTCTGATGGAGTGCAACTAGCTCTAGAAATGGAAAATGTTAAACTAGGAAACAGAGAATTAAGAATTAAACCATCAAGTGCTTCTTCTGCAAAGAAAAACAAAAATAGGCCTATAGAAATAAATGCTAATCCACAATGGAGAAAAAAACACCATGGTAAACAAAATGAACATGAGAATGGCAATCAAAAAGGAAATCCTAATCCACAATGGAGAAAAAAACCCCATAATAAACAAAATAACCATGAAAATGGCAGTCGAAGAGTAGGTGCTAATCCACAATGGAGAAATAAACAATATAATAAACAAAATGAACATGAAAATGGCAATCAAACAGTAAATGCTAATCCACAATGGAGAAAAAAACATACTAAGCAAAATGAACATGAGAATGACAATGCCAATGAATATAAAAGTAAATCAGAGAAACCTAATTATACACAAAATCAAAACTTCCAGGGAGCCAAATTCAGTACCAAAAAGAAAAATAAAGTAAATAAAGGGTTGCTGCAAAAGAAAAAAAATGTTAAAAAAATTGCTCCTATTTCGAAATAATAAAATGTCATTTGAAAGATAATTTTTAATTAAGTAAATAATAAATGTTATTTCTGTCAACCTAGTGTATTATTTATTATTTGGAAACAATTTGTATTACTTTTTTTTTAATAATTAAATACATTTGTAAATATTTGGTTTGAACTAATAGAATTGTTGATCATGAATATTTATTTTAAATAAATATATCTATAAACATGAAATTCAAAATACCTTAAGAGCTTCCTTAGATTATATATTTATTTAAACAAAAGATGACAATAATAGCCACTAAATTCTTTATCGATCATTTTACAACATATCGTAAATAAAATGGAAAACCTACTAACATAAATAATATGAAACTAACAATCTATGCAATCTTACATCAGTGCGGCCTGGATGAATCCATACCATACCTAGTCAGTAGGATTCAGATCCTTTTTGGCTGTGATGTATGTACCAAAAAAATGGAGAGGGATAAAAATTGTATTCATACCCAAATCTATAACGATGGATTACATTGTCCCATACATAGCTGGCCAATAGATGGTTAGTGGATGGATATATAACATATATGCTCTTAAAATGATCAGTCAGATGATGTAAACATGCAAGGCTAGATTGCCGAGTCCTACTCGCCTTAGTTTGGTTAATAATTACAGGCCAGCCTATCATTCGTTTTTGAGAAGGAATTAAAAAATGTAGATGATTGAAAATACTTTCTATCTCTGCTTTTTTCATTTGATGCAATTCTATGCCTGAAGGTGTGAGGTAAATTTGTCAAAAAAGTAGTTTGTTTTCAAGGGAGAAACAGCCGCTCTTATTTTTGTGACACATGGCTTTGAGCTTTATTTCATTTTACTTCCTGGTTATATTTCAGTTTGGAATTATTTTGTTTTTTAACCTCTATTGCTCTTGCAAAAAGCAACAGCAGAAATCTGAAAAGGCATTGCAATATAAAACAAGAAAATGATTTAAAAACTATTTTTCTGTTTTATTGAGGAAACTTACCAAATCTCTTCAAATAGAAAAAATTCATAAGGTCTAGATTATTTTCTGGGGGCAGTTTTCTGCGCTATATATAAATATTGTAAATGGATACTAAATAATTTTGAATGGGATTACCTACCTCTATACCCACCAAAAATGTTTCAAAACATCCTCATCTCATATCTCAAAAACTGGTAGGTACCTAGTTGATATATAGGTATACCGACCTTTTGTTGTATAACTTTTACATTTTATTAGTAAACCCAAGAGGTTTTGTAAAAAAATACGCGTTTTAACTGAGAAATGTAAAAATATAAGATGACACAGGTAAAATGTAATTTTTTGGATTGAAGATAATAATTTGGAGAATATATTTCCATCTTAAGAGTAAAATGTAGGTACACCTAATTCTTTTGGAGCCTTTATTTTTAGTTTTAGTCCAATTTTCAGAATATACCAATAATAACAAAGTGATAACAAGTGATATTTTTTGGCAGTACTTTTTTTAAGTTTGAATATAGGTAGTTTGTGAATTTGTTTGGAGTTTTGATATCGACGGTCATTTTCCAAATGTAGCTATCTACAAAATGTTGATAATTCAGGAAATCAAATTTAAAATTTGCGCAGCTCTAACAAATCGGGTATAAGTATAATATAATTATTCACCAGTATTTTGGTTTACATATTAAAAAATCCACAAATTCCTCATTTCAGCACACTATTTTTTATTATTAATTATTTATTTATTATTATCATTTATACCATTTTCAGTGAAATTTTTAACTAAAATATCTCAGAAATATTTCAGAAACTTGTGCTTGAAATGTTATATATTATGTTATGTTGGGAATGGGCGGTGTTAATACACTGCGACCTAAAAGATCTATTGTGCCCCCTTCTGTCGCCAATGCACCAAGGAAATGTCTTAATGCCTATAACGACCCTTCCAATCCTATTTTCTCAAGGAAGTGTAGGATCTGAAGTGGCTTAAAGTTAGGTAAATCTCCCTCTTATATTTGATATCCTCCTAGATATAGTGTCCTTGGATTCTAGAGTGCTACACATTCAGTTAGGATGTAAATGGAGGTTTCGTCCTCCTCACGGAATCTGCACTCACTATCCTCTACTACTCTCAGTTTACTTAGGTGTCTTTTTAGTCGGCAATACTCGGTAAGGATCCCTGTTACAATACGTAGCCTGTTCTTGCTCAGGCAGATGCAGGCTTCTGATCTTTTCTGGTTATATTTACCCAGAAGTATCTTGGTCTGTCTCAGCCCCAAGAGATTGTTCCAATTATCGGTTCTTCTACTGCCCAATTCTTTTTTAATCTCTCCTAATATTATATGTTACTGCTGATACTGCAGAACGGCTCAGGTCCTACAAAGGGTGTTTGAGCCCCTTTCCTCGAAAGAATATCTGCAATCTCGTTACTCTGTACCTCGTTATGTCCCGGGACCCAAGTGAAAGTAACTCTATTTTTCTTGCCTAGCTCATTCAATTGTTCTAGGCATCTCCAGACCATTTTTGAGCTGATTACTTAAGAGTTCAGCGCTTTGATGGCTGCTTGACTATCGGACATGATGATAATCTTTTGTCTATAATAGTTTCTCTCGATGTTAAACTGGATACACTTCTCGATGGCGTGAATTTCCGCTTGGAAGATGCTTGGGTATTTTCCCAAGCTTTCGGAGTGCTTGGTTCTCGGCCCATACACTCCTATTCCAGTTTCTTCTATGGTTTTGGAACCGTCCTTATACCACTGAATAGCACGTTTTTCGGTTGCAAGCGCGATGGATTCTAGACTCAATTCTTTCTTGCAGTCCAGCTCTGCATGTGGTTTTGAAGTTTTTCACAAAACTGTACTTCTTTAGCAGTTTATCCTGGGGCATGTCCCAGGCGTATCTTTAGTCCTGATGCAAGTAGACTTTCGTCTGATTACTCCGTTCCTGATCATTCTATATCGTGCGTTCTTTTTGCCACATTCTCTATCGTCAAATGTAGATGGGTGAGGTTTAAGATCACCACCATTGCAGCCGTAGGACAGGTTCTCATTGCACCAGTAATGCAAACACAGACTAGTCTTTGTACTTTTAAAATATTAGCTCTCGTAGTAGCTAAACTAGTTCTGTTACTCCAGGCTATAGCCCCGTAAGTGATGATTGGTCTGACTATTGCAGTATACGCATCCATCGCAGTATGTTTGGGTTACATAACCATCGTTTTCCTGCAATGTTTCTGAATACCATTAGGGATTTTGTGACCTTATTTACTTCTTCCTTCTCATGTGTGTTCCAGAGAAGTTTGTTGTCCAGGGTTAGGCCTAGATATTTGACTTCATTTTTCCATTCTATATCTATCCCGTCTAATTTAACGGTTTTGAGATTAAGTTTTCTTTTCCTTGAAAAGGCTACTATAGTGTTGTTTTTGTAGGGTTTATACTTAGTCCCACTTCACGGCATCATCTTTTGGTATGTTCTGGTCCTTGTTGGACTATATCACACAGGATATTACTAAACTTGCCTCTAGCAAATAGGACTATGTCGTCGGCATAACCTTGACATCCATCCATTTATCCATCTGGATGTGATGTTATCTACTCCTTTGTATGTAAGTGCTTTTTTTACAGATTCGTGTGGCGTGTTGTCAAAAGCTCCTTCTATGTCTAGGAAGGCACACACGACCGGTTCTTTGTTCGTCAGTGCATCCTGGATTACGTCAGTCAACTGTATCAGGGCAGTTTCTGTAGATCTTCCTGCTCGGTACGCTTGTTGGCTGTGGTGGAGTGGCAGCCTCTCCAAGACTTCCGTTCTGATATAATTATCAACAGCCTTCTCCATTGTTTTTAATACAAAGGATGTGAGGCTGATTGGTCGGAAGGATTTAGGATGTATGGTATCATTTTTCCCTACTTTTGGAATAAAGATGAGTCTGGCCCTTCTCCATGCTTCTGGTATATATTCCAGCTCCTGACTGCTCCGGGATAGCCGGATTATGTGTGGTAGTAATTCCTCCTGTGCCAGCTGAAGCAGGGCAGGAAATATTCCATCCATATACCTGGAGACTTAAATGGTTCACAAATGTTTACGGCCCATTTTAACCGATTTCTGCTGCATATGCGTGTTTGGCCACTACAGCGGCCTCCCTTGGGGGCCTGCTTACCTTAGTTGTGTCTCTTATTAGAAAAGGTGTGCTTCCAGGAAAGTGAGTTTCGAGTAAGAGGCGAGCTCTTTCCTCCTCACTCTCCGTGAAGCTTCCATTTGGTTTCTTTAATGTCATAACTGTATCATCTCTCCCTTTTGCCAGGACCCTGTGCAGTCTCGCTGCCTCAGGTGTAGAGTTAATATCTTCGCAGAATTTTCTAAAGCTGTGTTACGTTTAGCTTTCCTGATTTCTTTGTTGTAGGTAGTAAGCGCCTCGGTGTAGCTCTGCCAATCTCCGCTGTGCTTGGCCCTATTATAGAGCCGAGTGAATGCCGACTATTTGTGGAGGTTACGAGTGGCGTACAATTTACGTTCTCACTCTATAGAAAATAGATGAACGTAGCAAAGTCATTAATATCCACACTAGTAATGATATGAAATATACCAACCATAGTTCACGTCTAGTAGGCAACCTTTTTAAATCTCAATAGCGTTTATAACATTTTGTAGTTTATGTTAGTAGGTCGTAAAAAAATATACTGTACCTCGGATGATTAAGCCTATAATATAGTGGAGAACACTAAAAATTAGTCAATAAATAAAATTTAAAATAAACATTTTAAAGTAGTTATTATGTCAGTAGTGTTTATAAAAACATTTTTTAAAATTTTGAGATTTTTTAGTGGGTGGTAAAAAAAAT